AAAGAGAGAGAGGGGAGAGAAAGCCCCCCTCCCCTAGGAGAGTCATGTTGCAATCCCTTCTCCTCCATCTGTGCCTCCTTTAGGGATTCTGGGCACACACGCACATGCACCCTGCCTGTTTCTCAAGCTGCGAGGTCAAGGACGGGAACCGTGTGGCTGGCCATGTAGGATCTAGCTGCCTCAGCCAGTAGCCCCAGAGCTGGCCCACTACTTTACTTACCATGAAATCAACAACAGTTCCTATGTCACTGGAAAGCCTTAAAAATGTTTAGTGCTAACAGCTGCACTGTTTCAAATATATATATTTGGCAATATAAAGAAACAGACAGGAAAGTTTCAATTTTTTAATAAATTTATCTTGTACCCCACCACATTTTCGAACTAATTCCTTTTAGCAGTTTCCTTTTCTGTTGAGATTCATGCCAACTGTGAGTACCAATACAGTCATAATTCTGAGTCTTCAAGAAGCAGTTTATTTAGTATATTAAAAGCACAGGCTCTGGACTCAGACATAACTGGATTTCTCTTTCAGCTTTGCTGTTTCCTAGGTGTTTCTTGGCTAGAAAATTAATAATGTCTCTGAAACCCAGTTTCCAGATAAATAGCATGCATCCATGGGACTGCCAAGATTAAGGAAATAATACACATACGTACACAGCTTAGTAAGTTGCTCAGCCCAAAAGAAATGCTCAACAACTACTAGCTTCCTTGTGTTCTGTTGTGATTAGATACCATTCTAAAGAAGACCTACACTGGCTTAGCTTTCCTCCTTCAATAGTTAATTTGCAGTTTTCCTGAAAGCAGTAGTGTTTTTTTTTTAAGAATTATTTAATTTTATTTATTTTCATTATTACTTTAAACATTTTCTATAGGTTTTATGTGCTTGAGAGAGAGAGAAATAGAAAGTGAGAAAGCAAGTCGCCAGGTCTAGGACTTGAACTGTGGTCGACCTTGTGGGGAGTCCAAGTGCCTAAACCATCACACCACCTGCTGGGCCCACAGTAAATAGTTGTGAAGCAGGATTCTCATACATACTCTGAGAGAAATCTAAAAGGGAATGATACACTTTTGAATTTCAGTTTTGTCTTAAAATATACATACTATTTATATCTAGTCCAAGGCTTCTTTCCTCTAAAGGTGTTGTAGAGTTGTGAATTTCAAAGGTCTAGAAAACAAAGAAAAGAAAAAGAGTGTATGTTTCACTAATTTTAACATTGTGAAGTATAAATTTAATTGGCTTTAGTACCTAAATGTTTGCCAAGTCTTATTTTTATTTTTTTCCAACAGCGAGAGACTTGGAGCTATGTTGTGTTGGAGTTCAGCATTCTTCCTAGAGAGGGAGGCTGACAAGGAGGGGCCTGCCACAGGGCTGTGGTGTTTGAGGAACTTGGCACTTAGTTATGAAAATGGATCTGGAAGAAGTAGAGGTGGTGAGTGCACAAGTTACAGAAATCCAAGGCAGTGCTATGGTCTGAATGTGCCCCCAAAGTTCATGTGTTGGAAACTTAATTCCCAATGCACCGATGTGCAGAGGTGGGACCTGTAAGAGCCCTTGTGAATGGATTCATGTCATTTTTTCAGGAGTGGGTTAGTGACAAGATGGAGTTTGGCCTCTCTTGTCCATGGGATGCCTTCTGCCATGTAATAACGTAGCAAGGCCTTCCAAGTGTGGCCCTTGATCTTAGACCTTCCAGCTCCCACTACTGTGAGCTCAATACATTTCGGTTCATTATACATTATCTCATCGAAGGGCCAGCTGATAGCATGGTGGTTAAGGTAGCTGGATCCCACATGGCCGACTGTGCACCTTGAGTCCTGGACCCTATGGCTTGAAAAATACACTGGGCTTGTATGTGAGTGCCCAAAATCCCAAGAGGAGAATGGATGGAAAGGGATGGCGGCAAACCATCCCCACTGGGGGGGTGCTTTCTTACTTTCCCTCTCTCACCGTCTCTTTCTGGTGAGCACATGTATCTTAGAGCAAAATTAAAAAAAAAAGAGAAGTAAGTCACCCAGTCTGTGATTCTGTTATAGCAGTACAAACTGGATTAAGATAGGTGGTATTTGCAATGCTGTTTTGCTTTATAGCTTATCTCTTTTTTTAAAAAAAAACCAATTATTCTATTTAACTTTATTTATTTATTTTAATTTGACCAGAGAGGGACAGAGCAAGAGAGAAAGTGAGAAGGCAATCCGCCAGGTCTGGGACTTGAACTGTGATCAGTCCTGTGGGAGTCCAGCATCCTTAACCACCTTGCCACCTGCTTATCTTTATAACCTTACATTCGCACTGAGATTCCTTCTGGAAAAATAACTCCTCCTGTAAGCCTACATCTCTCAAACCCCTTCTCTTACCTTTCCCCACTGAAGTCATTGTTTATGTAACTAAGTGGTAGACAGTGTCAATCTTCCCATTATACTACTGTAACTGTCATATTATACGTACTGCGAACTGTTCTAGCAGAACAGTATTTATCAATTTGGCGGGAGGTGGTATGTAGGAGGGGAAGGGATGGCTGGGGGAGAAAAGCATCTAACCTTAAAATAAAAATTTGTCATCATGTGCATGTGCACACCAGATAGAGAGAAAGTGAAAAATTCCTTCTGGGAGGATGGTTATACTGTAATCCCCTCTCCTATATTCTTGGGATTCCAGGCATGCATGCACGCATGTCCTACCTGTTTTTCAAGCCACCTGGTCCACAACTCGAACTGCAAGTCAGCCATGTAGGATACGGCCACTTAACCAAGCCATCCGTTAGTCTCATTATCTAACTTAACGTTAATTTTTTTGTGTGAGTGAATGTCAGGAATCATCACTTCTTTCTACTTAAAAAAGATAAAAATACATAAGTATAATAACAACTCTAAAAAGTTTTAAAAATCTATGCATAGCTTTTTTTTTTTTAATGATGCACACTTTCAATAAACTTTTTGAGGACCCGTTGTATTTAGCTTCAAAAGACAGTGTCAATTATTGTAACAAGAGAGTAAATTCTAACTGTGATAGCTAGTTTGAAACTGGGATCCATAAGTAGACTCCAGTGACCAGTGAACAGCAAAAAACATAACATGATTATCAAGAGATGAAATAGTCAGAAATTATTTTGTTTCCTTTCATGTTAATGAACTGAAAACTTTCTCCACTTTCATAACATCCAAAGTGATTTCCTCCTTTGGAGGTGGAGGGTTCCCCTGCTCAGTGGCTTCTAACTCCTTGTAAAAGAGAAAACGAAGACTTGACTTTAAGGACCAGCAGATGGTATAATGGTTACATGGCTGGACTCCCATGTAGTCGATTATGGTTTGAGTCTTAAACCTGGTGGCTTAAAACTCACGATGGGAGGGACCAGCAGTTAACATAATGGCTATGTCGCTGGACTCCCATGTAGTCAACTGCGGTTCACGTCCTGGACCCGGTGTCTTAAAACTCACACCGGGTGTGTGTGCATGCATGCCCAAGATCCCGAGAGGAGAATGGAGAAGGGACTGCGGCATGGCCATCCCCTCTGGGGGGTGATTTCTCGCTTTCTGTCTCTCTCTGTGTCTGTCTGGCAAGTGCACGTGCCCTATGACAAAAAAAAAAAAAACAAAAAAACCCAAAAATCAAACACACAGAAAAACAAAACAAACAGACCTCTCCAACAAAACCCCCCAAAAAACAACAACAAAAAAACCCTCATGACGGGGGTTGGCAGGTGGTGTGGTGGTTAAGGGCGCTAAACTCCCACATGGCTGACCGTGGTTCAAGACCTGGACCTGGCAGCTTGCTTTCTCATTTTCTTTATCTCTCCCTCTGTCCCTCTAAGGTCAAATTAAAATAAATAAATAAATAAATAAATGGATAAACAAAGTTAAATAAAATAATTCTTTCAAAAAACCCCACCACCACAACAAAGAGAACAACTCACACTGGGCATGTGTGCATGTGTACCCAAGATGCCAAGTGGAGAATGGAGGAGGGGGAGAAGGCATTGAGGTGTGGCCATGCCCCCTGGGGGGTGATTTCTTGCTTTCTGCCTCTCTGTTTCTCAGGCAAGTGCATGCGTTCCATAGCAAAATCTTTCTCTTAAAAAGAAAGAAAAGAAATGGAGAGTTACTAATTGGCTTACCTGATTATACTGCTTAAAAACAATAGCCTTCAGAGAGTCCAGATAGTGGCTCCTCAGGTCCATTTTCACAATCTGATGGTGTTTACTAGCAATTGTCAGTGCCTTGAAATGAAAATGGGCAAATTTATTAGGATTAGTGTCCCTGTGTTTATTGTATTTGTCAAGTAAAATGTAGAAGCCCCAGAAGGGGTATATTGCTTCTCAGCCGGAATAAAGAAATGAAGGCATACGGAGTCTAGGAGTGATGCACCACCTAAGTAGGTTTGTACTGGTTTGGCTTCCTGTACTGTGTTCCCCAGGCAATTCGGATCCAGACTGCGTCCTCCTCCATGTCTCTGAAGCTGACCGTCACATTTTTCGGTGCTCGCTAAAGAATTTTCTTAAATGAACCTTTGAATTGTTCCAGATCAAAAAGATCAACATCTTCACCTGGTTCTTTACTCATCTGAAAAACATCCCAAACTTTCTGATGCTGATGAGCGGACGAGCAATCCGTCACAAAAATAAAAACCATACAAAAAAAAAAAAAAAAAGAAAAAAAAATGTAGACGCTGCAATCAGTGAATAGTTCTACTTATGAGTGAAAAATCCAGAAATATTTAACTCAGCTTAAAAAATAACACAAAAAAAGGGCTAACAGTATTAAGATTCTCATAAAGATTCTCATAAAGAGTTTTCTGGATCATTTTTGAAAAGTAATTCTGTTTTAGGTGAGCAGATGGCGTGGAGGTCAAGGTGCTGAATCCCACATGGCCAGCTGTGAGGTCTGAATCCTGGGCCCAGTGGCTTGAAAATCATGCCAGTTCGTGTGCATGCATGCCTGAAATCCCAAAAGGAGACAAGAGGAGAAGGGATTGGAATGTGGTCCTATTCCCGAGGGAGTGATTTCTCACTTTTCCTCTTTCTCTTTGTCTCTCTGGTGAGTGCACATATCCTATAGCAAAAAAAAAAGAAAAAAAAAAGTGATCATATTTAAAGTTAGGAGTTACACTCAATCAGTTCAGATTTAGGATTAAATAATTAATAGCCAAAATATTACTATTTTGCTATACAAGTCATCTAACAATGATGATATTGCTACATAAGAAATACAATATAAGTATAATAACAACTCTAAAAAGTTTTAAAAATCTATGCATAACTTTTTTTTAATGATGCATACTTTCAATAAACTTTTTGAGGACCCATTGTATTTAGCTTCAAAAGACAGTGTCAAATTACTCTAACGAGGGAGTGAATTCTAACTGTGATAGCTAGTTTGAAACTGGGATCCATAAGTAGACTCCAGTGACCAGTGAACAGCAAAAAACACAACATGATTATCATGCTTTAGGGCTAATATTGAAGAAAAAAGTGTATTTTAAGTGCAATTTATAAAAGCTTCCTGTCATTTAGGAAACAATTTGGAATACAGAAACAGAATTACTTGAATAAGATATGTACCTATTAACTAGAAGGGAGAGATACGTTTGATTTAAGTGACACAATAGAAATGAACATTAGCCATTTTAAACTACCTGTGGTAGGTATTATGGAGGAAGAGACCAACGTAAAGCACTGATGTTGGATGAGAAAGGGAAACAGAAGCTAGTAGTAGTCTTGTCCATTTCAAATGCACAGCCAAGGAACTTAAAGGACAGGCAGGTGCCCCCAACCCTGAGGGTGTGGACTCCACCAGCTTGGCCAGACAGCCAGAATGGCTTTGTGCTCACGTCCAACAGCTGCAGTGAGCTGTGGAACCAAGGAAGTGCCACTGTTGTATGCTGAGAGTGGCACTGACAGCCACCAGGCAAGTTTAGGAATGGCTTATTTTGGGTAAAGATGACAGGAAGCCCATAGTACCAAAAGCAGAACCATAAAGAGTGGTAGGGGCTGTACAGTGGTGCTTCAGTAACACATAAGGCTCTGTGAGGCTGACCCAAGGGAAGCTTCCAGGTTCTCATGCAGAATCTATGCCTAAGCACAGCAGGTGTGCACACACCCACAGCCCAGGGCTGGACAGCGGCATCAGGACCCTGCTGGTAGTGCTGTCTTGGTTTCTTTTTCTCAGTCATAGAAGAAATAAATCAATAAAACTTAAAAAGAAATACAAAGAAGAAGGGCTCTGGACAGAAACAATTCTTCTATTAAAGCAGTCTTGTGTACAGAATGTGAGAATAATGATGTTCGGTAACAGATAAACTACGCAGTCATGAAAAAACAGTGAGATATATTCATAGGTAACCAAAGGGAAGTATTCTGTTACGTTAAAAAAGTAAATTACAAAACCACAGGTATCACCCTGGCTTTTGTGATAAAACATATTTTGAAAGAAAAGAGCAAACTTCAACAGTAGTGATTTTGAGTGAATGGTTATAGGGGAGAGGTAAGAAGTTTTGAAGACCAACTTATCCTCAGAGCGTTTTTGCATTAAACATACATTACTTCTACAATCAAAGACGATAAAGAAGAGCTCTAAATTAATATCTAATGCCAAGTTTCCACTCATAGATAACAATGCTTTTTACTCCTTATTTTAGGAGAATTAAATGTAGTATGGGTCGAGCATTCCTAATCTGAACATCTGAAATCTGGTATGCTTCAAAATCTGAAACTTTTTGAATGCCAAGAAGATGCTGTTCAGTGGAAAATTATATACCTGACCTCATAAGATGATCACAGTCAAAATGCTACAATATTAAAAATGCTGTATAACATTGCTTTCAGACTAGAAATGATTTTCATGTTTGGGTTTGGGTCCAATCCCCAAGTAATCTCATAATGTACATGCAAATATTCCAAAATCCAACAAAAATTTGAAATTTGAAACACTTCTTATCTAAAGCATTTAGGACAAGACACACTTAACTTGCTAGTTCTATATCAAACGTGTATTGAGCAGATTAGACCTACACAGACCTGTGAGGTAAGGATACTGAAATGGTGTATGCTGAAGTAAGCCATCCCATACCTGACCCAGAAGGGGTATATTGCTTCTCAGCCGGGAGAAAGAAATGAAGGCATATGGAGTCTGGGAGTAATGCACCACGTAAGTAGGTTTGTACTGGTTTGGCTTCGTGTACTGTGTTCCCCAGGCAATTCGGATCCAGACTGCATTCTCCTCTGTGTCTCTGAAGCTGACCGTCACCTTATTTAAAAAAAAGGATTTGAATTCCCTAATTAGAATCTGATTGTGGCACTAACACCAAAAGCAGGTGCTTTTTTAAAGGACAACTAATGTCACTACAATCTTGCAAGCAGGTTGAGATCTGACAGTCTTTTAATTTTGAGTGTTAGGAAATTTTTGGGAATACATTTTGTGATTGTTTTACAAAGACACGTTAATCCCTTGCAAAAAGTCTTTTGTGAGAGAAAAACATTTATAAAAGGCTATAATCAGAGTATGACATCAACAATATTTAATTAATTTTTCTGACTTATCCTTTTTTTTATTTTTTAGAGAAATGTTTTGCTACATGGTGCATGCGCTCAAGGAAAGACAGAGAGACAGAAAGTGAGAAATCACCCCAGGTCTTGAACCACGGTCAGCCATGTGGGAGTTTAGCGCCCTTAACCACCACACCACCTGCCAACCCCCCGTCATGAGTTTTTTTTTGTTGTTGTTTTTTGGGGTTTTTTTTTGGAGAGGTTTATTTGTTTTGTTTTTCTGTGTTTTCTTTTTTTTTTTTTTGTCATAAGGCACGTGCACTTGCCAGACGGACACAGAGAGAGACAGAAAGCGAGAAATCACCCCCCAGGGAGGATGGCCATGCCGCAATCTCTTCTTTTCCGTTCTCCTCTTAGGATTTTGAGCATGCACTTACAGGCGCCTGGCATAGTTTCAAGCGACCGAGTCTGGGATTTGAACTGCGGTCAGCCATGTGGGAGTCCAGCGATGTAACCATTATGCCGTCTGCTGGTCCCAAATTTTTTTGACTTATTCTCACATTCTCCCACCTGTAAGGGTTTATGAAACAAGGCAGCCTTATAAATGGGACAAGTTTTGTAATGAAGCCTTTAGGATCCAGTGCAGACTTAGCATGTATTAGCAAGTTTAATAGTAAGGTGTACGCATAGTAATGGGCTTACAAATATGCCAGTCCTGATGCTGTTATCATGTAGAAGCTAAGAACTGCTAACGCAGTGTCATATGGCGAGAACATAGGATGTTCTACTCGGTTTCAAATTCATGGATAAAATATAGGGCTTTCTAGAATTTTTCAGCCTCGAATAGCCTACCCCTAAGTTATCAGCTCACCCCGATAGAGTTTCTCTGTGGAGTTCTGACCTGGGAAGGAGAACCTGACTGTCCACTTGCCCTGCCCATGGCTCTTCATTTCCTCCACCCCGGCTCTTACTCTAGGGAAAGGGGGCTGTTACTAGTGGCCGCTGAACTAGCAAGCTCTGCCTATTTTCCATCTAGCTGGTTTCCAGATTCCCTCAGAGCAGTGGCTGAGAAGTCTCCACAGTCCGAGGTGTGAGGCCAGAGCTGTCTGTTCCGGGGCAGCACAGTGTTTGCTCCTCAGCCGGGGCTCAGCAAGCCTCTCCTGGCTGGAATAGAAGAGGGTCTTACTCTGAGCAGCTTGCTTCCCATTATAAAAGCAAAGGTGTCCAGTAAAATCAGGGGTGCTCGAGAGCCATGCTGACCAGCTAGTGCCAGGGGCACTGGCACAAACGGCTATTTAACTTAGGTTCATGGAAGTTAGAAAAGAGTGAAAATTCAGTCGCTCAGCTCCACTTGTCACATCTCAAGTGCTCTGTAGACACAGGTGGCCACTAGCCCGGCAGTGTGCCCTGCAGTGCTGATAGAAAATGTCCACCACTGCTGGGTTCCACAGGATGGCACTGCTCCAGAGGAAGCAGCACCAGGCTCCAGATGGACAGGTGAGGGGAGACAGCTACAGCTTACCTGTGATACCGAGTAGACAGTACAGAATATCACTAATTGCACTTTTTTACAAATAACAGAAATGAGAGTGTAACAAATTTTAAGTGCACAGATGCCATTAATTAAATTTTATGGAAATTCAAGTGAATTTTACTCTTACATTTTTCAGTGCTCTCTGAAGAATTTTCTTAAATGAACTTTTGAATTGTTCCATATCAAAAAGATCAACATCTTCACCTGTTGAAGTGAAAAGAAAAATAAGGAAAATTCGGAAAGGACAATACTTCAATAAAGGCATTGCGAAGAACCCTGAAGCTAAGTATTTCTAAGTATTTTCTCAGAGGTAATGATTGAATGCCACTATAGTTCCTTTGACATGCCACCACCAAATAGATCTCTATCTCCCACGAATGAGTAATAATCAACACATTCTGAAAGAGACCTAAGAGGAACATAATGCTATTCATATTTAAATTACTAAAATATCAAATAGAAATGTTCAATTTAAAATGGAAAATATTACCTGGTTCTTTACTCATCTGAAAAACATCCCAAACTTTCTGATGCTGATGAACTTGAGTATCTGAAAGAGGGAGGAAAGGTACATTTTTTAGATTTTGAAGCAATGTGCTTATAAATACATGTTTCTAAAAAATTTTATTTTACTCATGACAGAGCATGTGGGGGGGGGAAGAGAGAGAGAAAGTACCCTCCAATGGGGCATGATCATTCCTCCATCCCTTTCCCTCCATTTCTCCTTCTCTTCAGGATTTTGGACACACATGCACATGTTCCTGGCATGTTTCCCAAGCTGTCTGGGCCAGGAATTGAACCACAGTCGGCCATGTGGCATCCAGCTCTTTTAACCACTGGGCTATCCCTACTTATTTTTCATATTTGACTAGGAAAAATAACAGTAATTCACAAATTAAGTTATGTAGGTTTCTACTCAAAATATAAACTTTATAAAGGCTGGCAGGTGGTGTGGTGGTCAAGGTACTGGACTTCCATGTGGCCAACTGTCCCGGACCTAGTGGCTTGCTTTCTCACTACCTGCTCTCCTCTGTCTCTCTCTGGTCAAATTAGATACTACTAATAATAAAATAAAATAATTTTCTAAAAATATAAACTTTATATAGATTAAATTTACTTTGGACAAGTAAAGTAAGTCATAATTACTTGATTCAACCACCTTGGATGATATGATTCAGTTTTAGCATTCACTTGTATTTCAGTCAGATCCATTCACTCTATTTTTACATGCATCTACTCCACAGGATATTGCATTTACCTGGCATGATGGGCGGGACATGCTCCACATGACTGATGTTTGCATCAGCCACTCCCTGTGCCTGAGCTCTTCTCCCAGCTCCTCCCTCCTTACCTCATCCTACTCTCTACCCAGAGGCCACCGCCTCAGAGTAGCCAACCCCGAAAGTCCACCCTGCTTTCTTTCCTTTCAGTGCGTGCCCCACATCACATGATGCGTTTAGATATTCATTGGTACATTGCCTAGTCCCTCACCCATCAATAGATTCTCATGGAAATAAGGGACTTGTTCACTATTGTAGTACCAGGTCTAAATGTAACTGCCAGGCTTAAAGCAAGCACTCAGCAAATGTCTGATGAATGAATAAATGACAAAGCAGACACTGTTCAGTTGTTATAAGCTTAAGAGTATCTCAGAGTAGAAATGGGCCTAGGAGGTTTTAGCAAGTACAGCTGCACCCCATCCTGTCTCTGGCTTAAACAGTCCCTGTGCTGACCTCTGTCTGTCCGCGCTGACCTCCTCCTGTCCCGGGGCTGGTGTCCATTTGCCTGTATTGACTGCAGCTGAGTCTCTGGACCTCAGATCAGGCTTTTTTACATCCCATAAAGAGGGGGTATTGGCCCCAACAATCGAGGGCACCAACTTGCCGTGTTTTTTGCACTGACTGCTTTTCTCCTTCTTTAGGTTCAGTATCTTTCCATTTTTTGGTGCCTGAGTGTCTCTGCTATCCTTTCCTCCCTTTGCGTTTACAGCAGTGGGTCTGGCAATTCATGATCTGGTTTGTCTGAACTAAGTATTGGTCTCGCTCTGCCCTGAAACCAGAGTGATCTTCCAACAGCACCCAATTCTCTCCTGCTCTCAATCCTTCAAAGGCTTTGCATTATTCTTTGGATAAAGAATGAAATCTTTCCAATGGCTTCTAAGTCTCTGTATCATCAGCTTCCACCCCCAGGAGCCTGTTGGCTTGACCCCACTCTGGCAGCACTGAGGTCCCAGGACTGCCTCTTCTTTGCTCCTCAGTATACTCCTTCCCATTCATATGCCCTTTGCCCCTCTTGACCCTTAACCTCTCTTCCCCTCTTTGCCCTGTTAGTGTTAATTCATCCCTTGGATCTCAGCTCAAACATCTTCTCCTCAGGGAAGCCTCCTAAACTCCCACAGGAGTGCAGGCTGTCCCTAAACCCGTTTGTTCTCCTCCTTTGTAGCACTGGCCATCTGCAAGCACGCGTTTTTGTGAGTAAATGACCAACCTTTCTCCTCAAGTAGACTGTAACCTCGAAGGGACTATGAATCACCTGTTTCACTCACCAGCACGTAGTATGTGCTGAAGGAACATTTGACCGAATGTAGGGGAAATGGGAACTGTGCAGACCCACCTTCCTGGCTTGGAGAAAATCCAATCAATGAAAATGAGACAAACTAAACCAGAGGCAGATGCTTTAAATAAATTCAGCTGTGTCATAGTTGGAACATATTAATAAACACGATTTTTCTTACTCTTCAGGTCATAGAAAGCAGTTAATGTGTGATAATAACAATTAGTGAACAGCAGACTAAGTTTAACATGTACGCTTATTTACTCCTCACCATAACTGTATGCAATACTGTTATGATTTTTTTTCCTTTTTTTTTTTTTTTTTTTTTGCTATAGAGCGTGTATGCGCTTGCCAGACAGAGAACCAGAGAGACAGAAAGTGAGAAATCACCCCCTCAGGGGGATGGCCACGCCGCAATCCCTTCTCCTCCATTCTCCTTTCGGGATCTTGGGCACACACGCACATGTGCTCAGTGTGAGTTTTAAGCCACCAGGTCCGGGACTCGGACCGCGGTTGACTACGTGGGAGTCCAGCGTCATAGCCATTATGCCAACTGCTGGTCCCAATACTGTCATTATTATACAAGTGATAATACTGAAGCAGACATATTACCCACTTTCCCCCAGGGCTCACAAGGTGACAACAATGGAGCCATGAAATGAACTCAAGAAATCTGGTCCCAGGGCCCATATTCTTAGCTCCTACATTATGTGGCCTCCTGATGAAAAAAAGAGCCCTCTTGAAAAAAACGCACAGAGAGGACCAGTAGACACAAAAGAAAATGGAGGAAATGGAAAGGAGAAGAGGTGAGTCACTACCCTGTAATAATCAATTTTCAGAAATACATTTTCAAATTCTATAGTAATACTTATATAAAGTCCAAAAGTATTTATTTTGTGTTATTGATGTTCCAGTTACTGCATTTAGAATTTTTCAAGAATTATCTCCTTGCAACAATTCTGTGAAGTCAATACTATTACCACCTCCATTTTTCTTGGGAGAAGAGGCTTAGGAAGACAATGGCAACTTGGTAAATGACCCACGGCTTGTAAGTGAGAGCTGGGATCTGATACCAGTTCTCCTTGACTCTGGAATCTGAGTCTTAACATTCACAATGAACTGATGAAACTGACTGGCAGGGTATAAGTACAAATCACCAGAACTTACAAATGATGTCTAAAAGGGCTGCATCATTGAGACTTGCATGCTTTTCCTGAAAGAGAAGAGAAGTTATTTAGTAACCGTGGTGGTAGGGTTGGTTCGACCCCATGTGATGCACATTTTAGGACTGGTTAGCATAGACTATTAGCACAATATTAGTGGCTTACTGACAACCCATTTCCTGACTGTTTTCCCATTTGCCAACACGTGTACCTTCTGGCTCAGATCTCAGTCCAGGCACTTGTTAATTGTTCTCCCACAATTCGCTCTTCGGTTATTGCTTTTTTTTAAAAAAAGAATTATTTATTTTATTTTATTTATTCATGTATTTATTTTTTAATTTGACCAGAGAGAGAGAGAGAGAGAGAGAGACACGGAAAGTCAGAAAGTAAGCCACCAGGTCCAGGACTCGAACCATGGTTGGCCATGTGGGAGTGTCCAGCACCTTAACCACCACACCACTTGCTGGCCCCTCCTCGGTTATTGTTTTTTAATTTTTGGGGTTTTTAAAATGAACTTTATTGAGTTAAACATACACTACACTACACATATTCGATGTATACGATTTGGTAAGATTTTTTTTATTTTGGAGAGGTTTTTGCTATAGGTCGCATGTGCTTGCCAGACAGACAGAGAGAGACAGAGAGACAGAAAGTGAGAAATCACCCCCCAGGGGGGGCCACGCCGCAATCCCTTCTCCTCCATTCTCCTCTCGGTATCTTGGGCACGGACGCACATGCGCCCAGCGTGAGTTTAAAGCCACCGGGTCTGGGACTCAAACCGTGGTCGACTACATGGGAGTCCAGTGACATAGCCATTACGCTAACTGCTGGTCCCAATGATTTGGTAAGTTTTGACTTAGGACTATACCCATGAAACCATTATACAATCAAGACAGTGACTCCAACTACTAGCCTCCCTTTCCCCTGAGTTTTCTTGTGCCTCTTTCTAACCTGCCTCTTCCACCCTTCCTAGTCCCCACCTCTCTCCCTCCCAACCCCCGGTCCTGAAGCAACTGCTGATCTGTTTTCTGTAGTTAAGGATATGTTTGCATTTTCTAGAATTTTATATAAATACAAACACATGTACTCTTTTTTGGTCTGCCTTCTTTTACTCAGCATAATTATTTTGATATCCATCTATATTTTTGCATCTATGAATAGTTAATTCCTTTTTATTAATGACTAGTATCTCACAGTATGGTTTCATCACAATTGTTTATCCATTTTCCT